ATTTTTTTCTTTTTTATAAAAGGCACCATTGTTGTTCACTTTGACCTTGTAGTGCAAATGATTCCCTTTTTTCAGTATAAAATATTACATTAAATACAAAAACAGAATTCACAATGTTATTTTACATTTGCGCAGACAAAGATGAGATCTAAAAGGGTATATTTGGCATACTCTTGAAAAATGTTCCGCACTTCATTTTTGTAAAGTACCGGTAGGTTTCTTTCAGTGCTTGCTCCCTAAAAGGCAGGGAGAGTTCAGCAAATCTTGTTTTATAATGACTTGATGTTAAAGTGGAAGTAAACCAATTGCCAAAAAGGCTAGTAAAAGCCAATGTTCTTCAGATGGCTTAGAAATGGTGGATGCAGTAATGTGTATTTCTGCTTACTGTACAATCCTGTTGGCTGTACAACCTTCACTCCTGCTGAAGCCAGCACCATCTTGGCCATTTGTTGGCAACAACGTCTTCCATCCCTCCCTCTGCCCACCACTGACATCAACAACAAGTGGAAGATGAGATGGAGATAGTAAGTTGCCAGGACACATCTAAGATGGCGCCATCTTCAGCAGGAGTACAGCCAACGTTATTGTACAGTAAGTATAGTAGATACAAATTTCTATATTCACCATTTGTAGAACATCTGGAGATCGTTTGGAATGGGTTTTCAGTGTATTTCAAATGCTTGGCAGATTTCACTTCTGCTTTAAATGTTGTATTTCATATATGAAATTGTCAGTTTAGGGATTTAGGGTCATGCCACCCTGGGAATTATGCTGCTGGGAATACCTGTAGAATCTCAGTCTCAAGCAGGGACAGAGTGACACTACATTGACTGGGGCAGGGAATGAGCAACGCCATAAAAGATAGTTAAAATGGAACTTCACTCTCTCCATCACCATTAACTATTTTTAATCCTTATGCTGCTAGCATTAATAAATAAATAGGAAAGTATATCATATTTACGTGTCTTTACTTTACGTTTTTTTTTACATTTCTTCAGTTACTTCTTGGTTTCCAGGCCTTGGCCAAAATGATGTCATACCTGGAGTCTTCAGGGGGGGAGGAGGGGTTTTCTTAGCTAAGCACACCCTCCTGTCTGCATGCCTTAGCTAAGGGCAGATGGATTCCACTAAGTAAATGCTACATGAATCATCTGCCCTTACTCAAGAAGGCCACGGTGTTTTTCAAAGTGATTTCTCAGCACAATAAAGCATGGAGACATGGATGGATGGGAAAGGTTGCTTTGGATATTAAAATTGAATGAAACAGCATTTTTTATTTGAGGTGCTCAGGTGCAGTGTTGTCCTGCTTTAAGTCTTAATGAATATGTTAATGGTGAACGATTGCCAATGACAGAATCCGTGGGATGACACATCCTTGGTGTTTTGTGGGAAGTGCTAGGGCTTTCATGTCATTTGAGTACATTGTCTAAAGAAGCACAATGGAGGACTGCCGTGGTGGACTGCTCAACTTATCTCACAGCCCCTCTCTGTTCCCTGCTCCTTGATGATTTGGATCAGGGTGGATATGCAGAATGTGCATTATTTGCCTGTTGCTGTCTCTATACTAACAAGCTGTGATAGCAGAAAGTGACACTTCTTGGAAGGATGGACTATAGCACCAAATGGTCAGCTCTGCAAGGCTGTTTCAGGAGGCAGTGAGGCTGGAAAGACTTCCAAGAATACATTGTGCTACATTCACACCCACGCTAAAGATGACCAAGACTTCAGATCTGTGTATGTATGACTTTCCCATAGGCACTACCTAGGGCTTAGACACACCAGTGACAATGGAGCTCAGCAGCAATCCTGCACACACAAGAGACATGCCATTGGTCAGGATGTATATATCATCAGCACAACATTTGAATGTACAGAATTTGTAGGTCTATTCTAAGAAACATACCTTTATTTTTACCTGAATGCATGTTTAGCACTGTTTAAATGTTGCGACCATGCATAATTGTTATGGTAAACATGCATGCCAGTACTCCCTGCCAATGCTGGCTGCAGATGAGCCTTGGCCTTAAGGATTTTAGTTGCATTTTGCAATCTGCAAAGTGTCTGTGATGCCCACTAGGAGCAATAAAGAAAGCTAATTAGCACAATTCCCATTATATCCATTATCATGACTGTCTTGTGATCTTCAGTACATTTCAGAGCTTGGAACCTTACTTTTTTTTAGGAGCTTCATATTTTGAAAGTGTGCCAGAGCTGCATTAGCCACTCTATGAAGTATTACCAGGATCTGCCTAGAAACGGGTGTCAAACTGGTGGCCCTCCAGCTGTTGAGAAACTACTAAGTCCCATCATGCCTCTGCCTTTGGGAGTCATGTTTGTAATGGTCAATCTTGCAATGCCTCCTGGGATTTGTAGTTTGGCAACAGCTGGAGGACCGCCAGTTTGACACCCCTGGCCTAGAAGGCTGCAGTTGGATTTTTAGACCCGCACACATATACAAGGATCAATTTAGACGGAAGCCAATTGACCCACTAGCATGTTTTTGGAGTGTGGATAAATAATTACCTGGAAGAAATCCATGGAAGCACAGGAGTCCTAAGGATTAAATATATAGGTTAGAAGGCTCAACTTTGAGCTAATAGAGTCAGACAACACAAGCTGCCACTGACAACAGAAAAGTTTAATGCCAGCTGTAAATTATTTAGCTCTTTGGTGGCCTGATCATGGGACCTGTCCAGTCCTGGCTTATGAAATATTTTTTTTGAAAATTAACATTCTTCAGAAAAATGCCAGATATACCCTGTTAATGTTTGCAAAGCACCAGAGGCTGATTAGCCAGTAGGAATTGCTAAATCACGGACGGATGATAAACCAAACAAATCTGTTCTAACAGAACACCAGGCATGTCAGTATGCTACATATGATGTAGAGCATGTACGATGCAGTGGACAGACTGCAAAGTGAAACAGAGACACACAAAATAAAGCAGCCAAAACCACTTCACTGGTGATGGCTCCGGTCATGTTTGGCTGGAGGCGCATCTTGCAGAGGAGGGCTTGCAGGAGACGTTTTTTTTTTTCTTTACGCCCACAAATATTAAAAATAAATAAACTCAGACATAAATATTACACTATACACCACTTGGTATCCAAGCTATTTACACATATACAAACACTGAACGTAGAGGTATTGCAACACATGTCTTAATCCATCTGAACTTCTTGTCGTTAAAGCACCTACAACAAAAGAAAGAGGAAATTAACTTCTGTGATTTAAGTGATCAGACTTCATCAAACTGAAATTTGCTTGGAAGCTTTTGAAGATCATCACTTTTTTTTGCTTCGTTAACCTCTTCGCGCCGACCGCACGCAAATGTGTGACCTCCCGGCATCTGGGTCTTGACGCCGAGCGGCCGCACATTTGCGTGCAATTAAGAAAAACATATGTGCTGAGAGCGCACGTCCTGCGCCCTCCCAGCACACATGTCTGGTACTCACGGAGAGGTCCCGATCTCCTCTTTCGATCGGGACCTTTCCCGATCATGTGACGGTGAATCACGGCAGTCACATGACCTTTAAACCCTGCCTGCCTCCTGACTTCTGAAACCCTTAAAGGGCCGGGAGGCGCCAGCGCCAGGGGGTTAAAGTGTGTGTCAAGGAAAGAGCATATTTGTTTTTGTTTTAGATTCAGAAAATAGATGTCTTACTGGGTTTTTACTGTGTCCTGGGGATCCCTTAGAGAGATTTCCTGCTGACAATGGTTTCACCAGTCAGGAAGTGAGGGAAGGGACACAGCTATACACAGCAGGGCAGGACACAGCAGGGACGGACAGAGCAAGGACTGGCCAAAATGTGATCCATCTGTGGGCAGGCTGGTTGTACTGAAGTCAATCCATTGACTTCAACACAACCAGCCTGTCAGATATTTTCCATGTGATCACTGCCGGCAGCTATGGCACTCAGCAGGGATCAGTGTGTTCTGCTGGCAGAACACAATGGCGCTGCCGGAGGGATTCACCCATCAACACTGACTGTGCTGGGAGAATCAAGCAATTTTCTTTCCTTCCACCCATGGTGGACGGAAAGATAATCGATCAGACCATCGCTTGCGTTACTCTTTCAAGACAAGATGGGGAAATATTTCAAAAGCAAATGAGATAACAGTAAAAGCCTAACAGGGTTTCAACCCTTCCCCCCTCTGGCACATATCAACATGCACTGCATAAAGGCAGCCATTTAATTATGGGCTACCAACTTTTTTCAAATGCATCACACCATGATGAATGTGTTCTTGTGTAGTAGATTTGAATGCAATGCCCAATGAATGTCACTATAAGACACTGCACAAAGAGATTTAAGATTTCTTCTTGCTTTCTGTTGTGTCTCTGGGACAGTAACTATAAAAAAATCTCCCCAAAGAGACAGCAAAAAATAAACCGTCAGGGTTTTGCCCAAAACAACACAATAAGGGGATACATTATTCAGTTTAATGTTTTGGCAGTTCGTTAATTGTCAATAGGTGTCAGGTGTATTAGAATGGCGGAATAGAAATAGAAGCAATATGGCTTCTTACTATTGGCAACACAGGCACATTTCATGTATGATGTAATCAGTATTGTGTGGATTTAGGAAACCATTCTCAACCAGGGTTCCTTGAAAGGTTGCTGGGGTTTCCTTGACCGGTGGCAGATCGACCCCCTATCTGACGGTACATGCATAGTTCGAGGGCCAAGGCCATTGGCAGAAGCAGTAGCATGACACTAATGATCTTTTTCTGACCACCTTAGCGTGGAGCATTCTTCCCAATCACCAACAATGTAGGGTGCATTTTTCCAACAGACCACCACTAACTTGGACTCATCAAGAGTTTCCCTGAGACCTGAAAATTATTTCAAGGGTTCCTCTAGGTTTAGAAGGTTGAGAAAGGCTGATTAATTTGGCTGATTATAAACTTTCAGAGTTGAGAATCCTTTTAGGGTCCTCTTACCAGTACTATAAGAGCTGAACACGGAGGCCGGTTGCAGAGGACGGAATACATTTGCCACAATAGCCACCACATTTTCCAGTCACTTTGGTTCCATCCTAGTAAAACAAAATGGAGTATTGTGTTACATTTGACATGGTTATAATGAAATCAGTACTTGATAATGACATACAAACAGATCTGTGGAACTTAAGTTGGCCATACAAAGAGCGCATATCGCTCTGATTCCTGTTGAAATGGCCAGAATTTGAGTTATGGTTGGCCCTGTTGACATCCTCCTACCTAAAATCCTTTGATCATATCAGGAGCTGGGCAGAGAAGTGCTGGCCAAATGGTGGCTGCATCCAATCGGATGCAGCCGCTGTTTCAGGTATTTTGATAGCCACCAGTGTTGTTTGTCAGAATACAGTAGCCATCAGGGAAAGATTCCTCCATTCATGCTGTTGTCAAGAATGGGAGAATTGATTAAAGAAAGGTAGAGGATGGAGAAATCTTATAGTTTATGGGAATTTTATGTCAATGCTGACATCACAGCCCTGTGAATTAAGCTGATACTCATCTAATACTACTAGGGGACTGGAAGCTTCTACACATGGACCCGGGGACCGATTGTTTGCACATCATTTACTGAGGTCTACTGTACTGTGTATGTGCATATCCTTTACACGTTGGGGTTGATTTACTAAAACTGGAGAGTGTAAAATTTGGTGCACCTCTACATAGAAACGAATCAGCTTCCAGTCGTAACTGAACAAACAGAAGTTAGAATCTGATTGGCTACCATGCACAGCTGCACCAGATTCGGCACTCTCCCGTTTTAGTAAATCAACCTCATTGTCTTACTGAATGAGGTCTAGACACAATGGAAAACGCACAGTATGCATTCCAAGACAACTATCTTTTCATTAAAACCTTCCAATAAAATGCCAGCCTTTTGACCTGTCTTTGATGTAAATAGATTAAAAGAATTATGTGAACTGCTCCAACGGAAGTAAAGTATTAATGCAACAATCTGGGCATCTCTACGATAAACAATGTGAGTGCACCATCTCTGTACAACTTCCTTTATACAGCATTTGCCAAATGATAAGAAGAGAGGCCCTTCTTCTATCCCATCAGGCCCTTACACTACATATTTTTTTCACAGAGCTAAAGAAGCTTTGTACAATCAGATTGCAACATGAATGGTTGGCTTTAGCCTATATATACTCCATCTGTGATAAATAATAACCAAATTCATATCAGTCTATCCTGAACTCAGCAGCCAGACTCATCCACCTTACCAACCGCTCCACTTCTGCCACCCCCCTCTGTCATTCCCTCCACTGGCTTCCGATTGCCCAGCGCATTAAATTCAAACTACTAACATTGACATACAAAGTCATTCATAACGCTGCCCCAAACTACCTCACCGACCTGATACCCAAATACCACACAACCCGTAATCTTCGCTCCTCACAAGACCTCCTACTTTCTAGCTCCCTGGTCTCCACCTCCCACGCCTGACTGCAGGACTTCTCTAGGACTTCCCCCATCCTCTGGAACTCACTACCCCAATCCATCAGACTGTCACCTACCCTCCTCACCTTTAGGCACACCCTGAAAACCCATCTCTTCAGGGAAGCCTACCCCACTCTCACCTAACAGCCGATCTCCTCCACTCCTCCTACCACTCCATCCCCCACGGCCACTTCCTCCTGTACAACTATCCCCTCCCTCCTAGATTGTAAACTCGAAAAGAGCAGGGCCCTCGAACCCCTTGTGTACTGTTTTGTTCCTGAATTGTCTCATGTACTGTCCCCCCTATAATGTACAGCGCTGAGCAAACCTTTTGGCGCTATATAAATACTGTATAATAATAATAATAATCAAATAAAATTGAGATGAGTGAAAACATATGGGAAGATCCTTACTGAAGATTTAGTTATTTCAGTCACTGCATAATTTCCTTGTGACATCCATATAGTGGTTTCAGATACAGAGAGTCCTGTCCCTTGAAGGTTGATGCTAAAGCGACCCTACAGGAAAGCAATACATACAAGTTCTGTTATTCTGCATACATCTTTGAGTGTTTGCAAAGGTATACATACACAAATCACTTTCCTCAAACTCAAATATATCATCTTTATCAAATGGAAAAATACACATTGGTAATGAAAATTAAAATAATTTGTAATTTTTTTTTAAATTATCAGTTTGATAGAAGCCACAATGTTTCCTAATATACTTTGCTAGCGACTGTTATTTTAAAAGCGTTGTTCATAGAAATGGCTAGCCTGTCCATAGAAATGGCTAGCCTGACTCTCACCCGAGGGCCCAGAATATGTTAGGTCATCCTCAACTGTCTACCTTCTGATATCCCCATCGCTTACTGACAAGACATGTCCTCCTGACTTGAATACTCTGAGCTTCTACTCAGTCTCTGGTTTCCCAGTCTAATATCACTAATTTATTCATGGCACTGTCTGAAGGTAAGAGAAATGTCATGCAAGAGGAATAGTCATTTTTTAGGAGAATAAAGTATATTTGAAAATTTCATGGCTCGCATCAGACTGATTTATGGTTCAGATAGTTGAAAAGTGACAGAACTTTGTTAAAGTGACCTTGAATGAAAGAAAATAAACTGGTCCAAAAGCTGTGCATGCAAGAAGAGAAGAAATGTTTGCCACTCTCCAGCCTAATCCAGTGAATACTGCTCTGTTGAGGAAAAGTCTGCTGAGAAGTTAACATTTCCAAGATAGTCCAGCTCCTGGTCCTCCACTGCACTCAGTGGTTCCTTTCACCGACACCTATATCACTACAGCACACATTAGTGTCATGAAGGTTGGCGGGAACCAGGGGCGGACTGACAAAGCTGTCAGAAAATATTGGACACTGTCCAAAATACAGCACGGCTCCGTGACATTGATAGACAATTATCACTGGTGCAGAATATATATGAGCAGATGATATTTATATTCTTAATGAATAAATGGAGTCAAATCATTTAAACAATTGCTATATGGGGAGCCGACATCTCCTGTATCCTTGCCAAAATGATTTGTACACAAATATACAGCATTTGCCTGGTGTTGAAATTGCCAAGAGCTGTGGAGATCATTTTAAGAAATAGATAATATTCCTCAAAATGGTCTCCATAGCTCCTGGCATTCCCACACCAAGAAAATATATTTTATTTACAGAACAAAATTACAGAAGATGTCAGCAGTCCACATAGCAATTGTTTAAATGATTTTGTTCTAGTTACTCAGTATAATCGTCTGAATTATATACTCCTTATCAGGGGCGGACTGACAACTCATGGGGCCCCCGGGCAATAGGGGATCATGGGGCCCCTGTCTCCTTGCCCAAACTCAAAACAACCTATGAAAAAGGTACCAGGGGCATCTCATGGGGCCCCCTACTGACCCTGGGCCCTCGGGCAGTGCCCGAGTTTCCAAATGATCAGTCCGCCCCTGGCGGTAACCATTAAGACCAGCAGGATGGTGGGTGGCATAGGCGATGGACATTTTGGGATGGAGAACCCAAAGCATTAGTTTCTCAGCACACTTAAAAGGAACATTTTTCTTCAACATAGTGGTAAGCAGGTGAGCTGAGTATTTACTTTGTTCATTACAATTTTTAGGCCAGTTTAATTTTTATGACTGGGTCACTAAGCAGTGCAGAGTAAATGGTCTAGTCTTTAACCATTGTCGGCTGGCCTCGTTGTCACTATTTCTGCCTGCACGGACATTCTTCTAAGAGGTACATACAGATATAAACCGGCATTCAGACAATCCAATACCAGAGCAGGGGCGGACTGACAACTCATGGGGCCCACGGGCAATAGGGGATCATGGGGCCCCTGTGTCCTTGCCCAAACTCAAAAAAGCCTATGAAAAAGGTACCAGGGGCATCTCATGGGGCCCCCTACTGACCCCGGGCCCTCGGGCAGTGCCTGAGTTTCCAAATGGTCAGTCCACCCCTGTACCAGAGCAATCCTTGCGTAGACAAACCATAATATGCACAAAATGACGATTCTGCATATTTAATGACCAGACACCGCTGGTGCCAGTCTAATCTTGAAGGAACATCAGTGATCATTTTGGAGAATGAATTTTCCAACCAAGGTTGAACCAAGAGTGTCTGCAGAGGTCACATACTGCCTACAGACATGCAATTGATTCCTGATCTGTCTGTAATCAGTAAGATCAGGTGACAATCTATGAACAACTTACGAAAGCAAACATGAAACCCTCAGCAAGCTAATATCACTGAATACTGTGCAGCTGGAGGTGAGTGCATTCAGTAAGCATGTTTTTTTGTTACCTGAGGGCATTTGGCTGCGCTGTAACAGTCCCCCGCTGTGGCAAACGGAACAGGCCGTCCATCAATAGTACGAGCAAACTGAAGATCTGTGGCTAAACAGAGGTATCACAAATTATTACAAAATGTACTTATGGTATGCATGTTGTACATGCCGGACATACTATAAAAGTTCAGTATAAGGGTGACTTACTTATAATCTGTAAAGTGGTCAGATCCAGCCTCACTTTACTGAAGGTGGACAAGCCAGATGCTGTGTAGTCTTTCTTGCATTGACAGTCTTCTCTCCTGCTCCCATTATATGGACATTCTGTAGGATTCTGCAGCCTGCAACAGAAGAGAATACATCATTTACAGGAAGATATTAGGGTATTATAAAATTAAGGGTCGGGTGGATCACTTTTTCTATTCCTCCATTTTGTGGCATACTCCCTTCGACCGGTTTTTAAATATTCCTTCAGCAGTTTTATTTGGCATCCTAAATAAAAAACATATCTCATTTGCAATTCATCATTTTTAAATGTTTCTGATGAATTTAAACCCTTTACACCTGATTTAAAATAATGGCAAATCAAATATGTTCACAGCAGCATAAAAAAAAAATGAAACCCCATTGTGAGAAGAGAATATGGAGATTAGATTACTTTTGAGCCCCCCAGGACACCATAGCAGGACAGTGTGGTGGTTATAAGTCCACAGTACTTTCATTTATTTCTGTAGCTAGAAGACATCGTAGTTGGATCTCTGTTTGTGTGGTTCATCAATTTAGACTAGATTATGGACTATCTTCTGCTGACAGCAGCATTCATGTCAATTTTGAAATCCGAGAGCATGGGGGCAGGGGGGGGGGGGCTTCTTCCTCTTCTTTCCTTTCTCCTGTTGTCATTTAGGATTAACTTTGCGACTTTTGCAGTAGCACAACACTTTTTATTGATGTTTCCCAATTTAGCAGAGAAAAGTTACAGTGCTTCAAGTCAACACTGTTGAAACATAAATCTGATTTTCCACATTCAATTCACACTGCCTAATATATTTGGAGTAAAATGGATGGTGACTATACAATAACAGAAATCACAAATACAGACTGTGTACATGTTTGCCATTATTTCTATGAGGCCAGCATAGCTATCTGCAAATGTTGAAACAAATTGTTACAGATATTACTAATCGGAGGCTGGACATAAGAAGATGTTATATTGGGTACTCAGACAGCATATACAGATCCACTGGGTACTGCATGCTACCCACATGATTGTTATATAAAACACAAAGTGAGGGTCGCACCAGCCTAGTGCATTATCGCTAAGACCATTTATTAAAAAAAAGATGTAAATAAATCTACTCAGACATCGGACTAGCAAAGCATATCAAGTAGTTGCAATCAATTCGTCCAAACCTTGGTTTGGCTCTGAGGAAGAGGGTACGGCCCTGGAAATGCGTGGAGCGGACAAACTGATTACAACTATTTGATATGCTTTGCTAGTCTGGATATCTTTTTTTGAAGTGTGTTACTAATAGGGTCACCAGGTAAATATTTTTTAAAAACTGCCAAAAAACCTCAACTGCAGTCATTACATCTAATTGAGCATCAAAATGTGCTCTGAACGTCATCTAAGTCACAACAATAGAAGAGAACACAGTCTGCTGAACATTACATTTGATAAGCCAGAATATATAAATATACAAATAAATATTTGTTCTTGAGTTTAGATATGCTTTAAACTGAGAAGACCAAAATGCAAAAGTGGTCCCTAGTCACTGTTGCCTGGGAAAAGGGTCCTCAGTCACTAATGCCTGGGGAAGAGGTCCTCAGTCACTAATGCCTGGGGAAGAGGTCCTCAGTCACTAATGCCTGGGGAAGAGGTCCTCAGTCACTAATGCCTGGGGAAGAGGTCCTCAGTCACTAATGCCTGGGGAAGAGGTCCTCAGTCACTAATGCCTGGGGAAGAGGTCCTCAGTCACTAATGCCTGGGGAAGGGCTCCTCAGTCATTAATGCCTGGGGACAGGGTCTTCAATAAACTGCTGCCTGAGAAAGGGGCCCTTAGACACTGCTGCTGTAGAAGGGATACTCAGTCACTAATGCCTGGGGAAGGGGTCCTCTGTCCCTGCTGTCTGAGGAAAGAGTCCTCAGTTAATAATTCTTGGGAAGAGGTCCTCAGAGGTCCTCAGACACTGCTGCCTGGGAACAAATTCTCAGTCACTGCTGCCAAGGGAAGAGGACCTTGGGCACTGCTGCTTGAGGAACGGTTACTCAGTCACTAAGAAGGGTTACTGCGTAGAGAAGAGATTGTCAGACACTGCTGCCTAAGGAGGGGGCCCACAATCACTGCTGCCTGGGGAGGGGGTCCTCAATCACTGCTGCCCTAAGGAAGGCGTTCTCAATCACTGCTGCCTAGGGAAGGGGTTCTCGATCACTGCTGCCTGGGGAGGGTGTCCTCAGTCACTAATGCCTCAGGAGGGGGTCCTCAGTCACTGTTGCCTGGAGAAGGAGTCCTCGGTCACTAATGACTGTGGAAGGAGTCCTTGGTTACTAATGCCTGGGGAAGGGGTTCTCAGTCACTAATGTCTGGGGAGGGGGTCTTTGGTCACTGCTGCCTGGGGAAGGAGTGCTCAGTCACTAATGACTGGGGAAGGGGTCCTCAGTCAATAATGCCTGGAGAAGGAGTCCTTGGTCACTAATGCCTGGGGAAAGGGTTCACGGTCACTAATGTCTGGGGAGTGGGTCCGAATCACTGCTGCCTGGGGAAGGAGTCCTCAGTCACTAATGCCTTGGTAGGGGGTCCTCAGTCACTGCTGCATGGAGAAGGAGTCCTTGGTCACTAATGACTGGGGAAGGGGTCCTCAGTCACTAATGCCTTGGTAGGGGGTCCTCAGTCACTGCTGACTGGGGAAAGAGTCCTTGGTCACTAATGACTGGGGAAGGGGTCCTCAGTCACTAATGCTTATGCAAGAAGTACTTGGTCACTAATGCCTGGGGAAGGGGTTCTCGGTCACTAATGTCTGGGGAAGGGGTCCAAAGTCATTGCTGCCTGAGGAAGAGGTCCTCAGTGGCCCAGAAATGTTGCACTGTTTGATGGGGAATAAATCTCCTGTTTTTCTATTCCTACAGTGGTGTGCTGGAGATACCTATCATTTTGGACTTTTTTCTGTAAGATGGTGACAATGGAATTTTTACTGATCCATCATTTTAGTACCCGTCATTGCTCTATGTCTATAGCTGTAAGTAGTGCACTGAATCTTATGGATGTATAGACTGTTACAGAAAAAACACAGAAATAAATAAAGTGCTAACAAAACCTTTGAGTGTAAAAAATACACACAGTGCACCCTTTTGATCATACCTGTAGCCAAATACCTCGGAGAAATTTTCTGCCTCATCACTCACAAGCGTCACGTATTCTTTCGGATTGTCTGACTGCATCCCCGAACAATAAACCTGAGAGAAAAGCAATTGTTATTGGTGTGAGAGAGCACCTGCAGCCATCTATAAATAATAGAACACGCAGGAAACCATGAAGCACGCTGTGCCGAGGATGACGCCGTACCTTTGTTATTTTCTCCTCCACCATAATGTAATGCTCACCATCTTCACTAACACCTCTGCGCCTTTTAACATCTTGACAATTGTGTGGTAAATCACCTAAAATGTAAAGAATATATTATATTTAATTGTAAAAATGATGATGAATTGATGATCAATGAATTACCACAAATTAGTTAAATCTGAACTCCGGGAATGAGACAAAATCTACCCTCGCAGTAGTCCCATCAATGCTGTCCCCAAGCTCCAGGCTGTGGGTGGTCCCTCTGCGTTGATATATAAAGTGCAGGGTTATTGGCATTGTACGTGAAGATACAAACCTGTGTCCATGGCTCAAACCACTTTAGAGAACATTCTGTGGGGGACCATACGCATAGATTGAGAGACCCTTCCTGTGCTAGGAATAAGGCATTACATCGTATCCCCATACCCCTACACTAAACAAACAAGTAGATGAAGTAGATAAAGGAGAAATCACACTAGTGTGAACAAGGACTTAAAGAATTGAGAACTACAAGCCGCTGGCCGCCAACAGTACTTGTTGTTCATTCATTCACAGGAAAATGCGACTGAATGATGTTGGTGTGTGGCCGCAGTCCTGCACAGTCGTGGTGTTTTCAAAAAGCGACAGAGGGTGTGGGCAGAAGATCCCTCACCCGCTGTCACAAAGTGGGGAGTGCTGGTAGCAGGAGGTGGGTGTATAGGAGTATGTTACACAGGAAATATGGGTGTAACACGTAACATGCTCCTTAAGGTAAACGTATCATTTTAACTGGATCTGCCAGCAACTTTATTACATTATTATACTTATGACATGTCACAATATGCAACAATAGTATATCACTAAAAAGCAGTCCTTGGAGATCCAATCCCTTATATAAATGTTTGAAGCGCACTGCTATTTTGTAGGGGAAATTCCAGGCAAAAGGTTCATTATGTGTACTCTCCAGCGCTCTAGGAAATGAATTGCCAAAGGGAGGCCAAGGGGGCCAGGACAGAAGTGGCCTAAAGATAATGCTTCAGGGGTGCAGCCCTCCTCAGACGTGGGAAACCAACCACTGGAACAAGAGTAGACAGGTGGCGCAAATCTTGGATAATGCACTAGGTGTTTGCGCCACCTATCTGCTCTTTTTCCAAAAGGTTCATTGTGTAGGGTACTGCTTAGTCTCAATTAACATTTTTATATGTTCCCTATGAGATAGCAGATCTTCACATGTTGAGTTCAGGTCCACTTTAAACGCAAACTATTTTTTTTTTCTTGCATTGGCATAAAGCAGGGAAACGCAAGACCCTCTGCCAGTTTTTAAGCCATTGTTGGAGTCCCCAAAACCTAGAATTACCATAATTTCTTGTCCTGATACACAGGATATCACAGGGACAGGCAACGAAGGGCAATCTCCGTGATCAGGACAAAACAGGAATAGCTTCTAACCCTCCCCAATTATGTTAGCATTTCCCTGGAGAGATTTCCCCTCACTTTCTGTTCTAGTGATAGGAGGCAAGAATTGAGTGAACATCTTCTCATTGGGAACATAGACAGCAAAACTTCTTCTAAGACAACAAAGTGTGGTTTTGGAACTAGGCCTTAAAGTGAACCTGTGCTAGGCCTAAGTAGAGCAAAAAGATATTCTCTTTATGGCCCTTCATCAGTAGAACATATCTTTTCCCTTCACTCCCTTGTCCCTTTGTTCAGCCATCCTCAGTTCTGTGTAAGCTTTAAGCTGCAAGTTGATTCTGATATAGGGCTTCCTCTAAAAGGATGGTAATTATGTGTGGGGCCAGCTTTAAAAAGAACCATGAACATAGCAAATATCACTTTAAAGAATAAATACAAAGTTCAGGCACTTTTACTTTTTAGCCTTTATGGCAGAACAGTTGGACCATAATGAAGTAGAGGAACATTCAGCAATAGCACTATATGTCTCAGCTTTTCTCAGAATAAATCCTACGTACAGTCATGAGGATTGTAGCATGGCCGCTTCTCCTCCGGTTTCGTATCCATGGAGCACATACTGCTAGGGACGTCATCATTCGTTAGACACTGCACAGAGCGCTGCATGAGACCAGCTCCACAGGTAACAGAACACTGAGAATACAAACAGCACAAGCGTCAGTTACCACCAAGTAGATAATCTTGCTATACCATATATAAAGTTTTTGGACACCTAACAATTGCAATTTGAACTTGCTGGAAATCCTAATCCAAACCATTTGCACTATTATGTAGTCGCCTTCCTTTGCAAATATAACAGGCTTCACTATTCCAGGAAGCCTTTTCACGAGATTTTGGAGGGTGTCTATGGGAATTTGTGTCCATTCAGCCAAAAGAACATTTGTGAGGACAGGTTTCAAAGTTGAGTAAGAAAACCTGGCTCACAATGGGCATTCCACGTAATATCCAAAGTACTCAGTAGGGTTGAGGTCTGGGTTTGTGTAGGCCTCTCAAGTTCTCCATACCCAACTCATCAAACCATTTCTTTATGAAGTTGGCTTTGCACACAGGGGCACAGTTATGAAGAAACACAACAGGTTCTGTTCCAATCCATTGCCACAAAATTGAAAGCATACCATAGACTACATTTCTTTTTCTGTATGCCATAACATTCACAGTACCCTTTACTGGAATTACCTAATCACAATATTTTGGAAGGATGTCCACATACGTCAAGCCATGTAGTGTATTTCTTTTAGCACAGGGACCTATAGTCTTAATTCATGCCTGACTGTATCCCACTGTACTATACCAATAGCTAGTAACTTTGGACTCCTGTCATATGACCAATATTGATCTTGTGGTCCAAGCTGTGTTCAGCTATGGGTCAGACTGAATGACTTTGAAGAGAAACTCAAGTGTGTTCTTTAAAGCTCTTTATCTGTCAGACAAGGTACTTACCTTTCCCCAGTTACCAACTCTCCATGAAGCAAGCACAGGACACTCTCCCAGGAAGCAGCTTTGCACATTGGGTGGTTGGGTTCCTGGGCAGTTGGCTGAACTTTGGTAGCCATACTCATAATGGTCCTTTCCTGAGTACACTTCACTGCATGACACCAGCCTTTGCCGATAGCCTACTCCACATGTCACCGAGCACTGAAAAATATTACATACTGGTCATCCATGGGAATAATACACATTATTCATATATTTATATATATACATTTATATATATCCTTTAAAGGATATCTATATGTACGGACACTTTCACCCCCTTCCTGTGCAGGCCAATTTTCAGCTTTCAGTGCTATCACACTTTGAATGACAATTGTGCGGTCATGCAACACTGTACCCATATGAATGTTTTAGCATTTTTTTGAGACAGATAAAGCTTTATTTTGGTGGTATTTAATCACCACTGGGATTTTTATTTTTTTTTTGCAAATTTTGAATAAAAGTGTTTTTCTTATAAAATCACCTGCTGGTGGCACTGTGTTTCCCAGAGCTGAAGGTGGTAGTTCTGGTGTCCACCAGCAGGTTTCTCCCAGCAGCCAGCAGTTGCTAGTAATCAGTTTTCACCCAATGTTGGCTGCTGGGAGAGTATTTAGGTCCTCCCCTACTAATGCCTCTCGTTTCAGTGTTTTGCTTTGCTGCCAGATACTGTGCACCATTTATTCTGATCCTAGCCCTGATCTTGCTCCTGTCCTGCATCCTGTACCCTGCTGCATCTTATCTGCTCCCCTTGTTCCTGATCCCAGTCCTGCTTCCCCCTTCCCATCTACTCCCTGCATCTCCAGTTTACCTTGTTGATCTGTGTTCCCTATTTTGTATATATTGTACATAGTTACTTGATACCGTAGACTTGTGTCAGTCAGGTTGATTAATTAAGGATTCTGTCATTGGGTTTTGGTTCACTTTTTACATTGCTGTGTTCTGGTGTTCGGATGGATTTTGGTTTACTGTAAATAAATCTCACTTAAAGTACACAGTCTGGTCCCAGTTTCCTGATTGTAGCCAGACAGATTTGGCCATCTCTGGTGCTGATTCCTGACAGCGTCTTTTACAACTAGCATTTAAAAAATAGTCATTCTAAAATTATAACAATGCGATACTACACTGTCATTTTAAGTACAAACTAACAAATTCTTTAAATGCGCAAAATACCTTTTCAATGGTGGATCAATAAAGGCTTGCTGAGCATAGGAGACGATCTTAACGGTGCTTGTATACATTCTCTGCAATATTTTAAGGACAAGCTGCATATGCCTACCACTGAAATCTTCAGATATAACCAGACTGTCTCATTTCTCCGCTCGAAGCTCGCTTTATTGGATGAGTCATCTTTGCTCACCGCCTTTTAACTCTCCTGCCAGAACAGGGATTCCCCAAGAGGTCTTGTCTATACAATATATGCTCTCCTCACTGATCCAAATTGTAAAATCCCTTATATGGAACATTGGGCAAGAGACTTAGCTGTTAATTATGAATTATCGGATTGGCAGGACATCGCCTTGGCACTGTCCAAAATTTCTATCAATGCTACCTTAATTGAAGCAAATTATAGGACTTTGTTGAGATGGTATTTGGTTCCTACCCAGATTACAAGAATGCATCCGTCTGCTTCTGCGATGTGTTTCCGGCGTTGTGGCCAGGAGGGGTCTATGATTCACATCTGGTGGCAATGTCCGCTTGTAACTAGATTTTGAATTCGCATGTTCAATCTGGTAAATTCGGTGATGGCTATAAATATTTGCGGATCCCCGGAGACGGCGCTCTTTCACAAATTTCCAGATAATATTCCCAAGAAATCCCATAAATTGATCTTCTATATATTTCTGTCAGTGAGAATTACTATAGCTAGACATTGGAGGCAATCGGTCATTCCACTTGATTATGTTAAAAAGAAACTTAAAGTGGAGTTCCACCTAAAAAAGAAAAAAACTAAAAGTCAGCGGCTACAAAAACTGTAGCTGCTGACTTTTAAAATACAGACACTTACCTGTCCCTCGGTCCAGCGGTGTCTTCAGCACCGGTGATTTCACCGGCCGTCTTCTCTCCCTGGCGTCTGCATCTTCAGTGTGGGCACCCGGCTGTGACAGCTTGTGGCTTCACAGCCGGGTACCCACTGCGCATGCGCGAGTAGCACTGCGCTTTGTGAATGGCCCCGTAGTCTTCTGGGACCTGTCACGTGTCCCCAGAAGACTACAGGGAGGGAGGGGGGAGTACAACTTCCGCTTCCGATCGCCTAGGCGATCGAAGCGGAAGTGGGAGCGGGTACCTGTCAAATTCAGGTACCCACTCCCCAAAGGTGTCAATCCTTTATGGGGAGGCTTAAAGCAGAACGTCCCCTTTTGGGTAGAGCTCCACTTTAACTGGATTATGGTTAATGCCAAACTTACCTGTATCCTGCACAATAATTCAAAAAAATTTGATAACACATGAAACCTGTGGCTGCAATACCTCTCTGTGCCTTAATGACCCTCCTCTTGATTTACCTTTCTACTCTTTCCTTCATCCTCTTTCTTCTTCTTTTTTCTATTCTGCATTGTACTTTCTATGTTGGATAGGTGAGATACACTTTTATTTATGTCTTGCCTTAACCACTTCCAGTCCGGACACTTTTACCCCCTTCCTGACCAGGGCAATTTTCAGCTTTCAGCGCTGTCACACTTTGAATGACAATTGTGCGGTCATGCAACACTGTACCCATATGAATTTTTTACCATTTTTTTGACACAGATAAAGCTTTATTTTGGTGGTATTTATTCACCGCTCGGATTTTTATTTTTTTTGCTATGTAAATGAAATGTCCAAAAATTTTGAAAAAAAGTGTTTTTTTTATAAAATTTTGCAAATAAATAATATTTCATCATAAATCTTTGCCAAAACTTATTCCGTTATCTTTTTAGTAAAAAAAAAATCCAAATTAGTTTATAACCAAAAATTATAATTTTTTAAACATTTTTTTTTTTACATTTTTATTTTAATTTTTTATATTATTTTTTTTTTTTTTTTTTTTTTACATACTGTCACCCTAGCAGTACAGTGTTATCATGGTGACACTGTACTACTTGTGGGGGTGATGAAGATTTTTTTTTTTTTTTTTTTTTACACTGATTGCTTTTACACCCATATAGGGTGTAAAAGCAATTATTTCTCTTTCTCTCTGTCTGCATTCTTGCACTCATTGAGAAGTACTGAGTGAGCTGTGATTGGTCACAGCTTGTCACATGGTACAAGGCTGTTGTGAATAGCCTTGTACCATGTGACCTCTGTGATCATTCACAGATTTCACACTTAGTAAGCAATGATGTCACAAGTGACATCTTGCTTACTACTTTGCATGTGATCACTGATTGGCCAATCAGTGATCACATGATCGGGACCTCATACAGAGGTCCCGTCCGACGATCAGTGTTTCACTGTGTCCGGAGGACACAGCGGGCACTGGATCGCGGTGCTGCGCGCGCTCCCAGGGAGCGTGCACAAGCAGGGTGCGGGGAGGCCGTTTATAAACGGCCACCCGACCCTGCACTGCCACCGTCCGGCCGTTTATATGCAACGGCCGGTCGGGAAGTGGTTAACTGCCAATTGTTGTGGCAGAATGTGTCATTACTGGTGTTTTATATCTGTATATATGATGGAACATTGTTCATTAATACTTCTTGTTTTTTTGTTTTGTAAAATCATTCAGTAAAAACCATTGGAAACTAAATGCGCAAAAGAAAATTGTTCCTCTGTTTGTACCTACCTCAGACCACTCCCCGGTAATCCAGATGTATTCACAGGACTGTACATTGCAAGCCTCAACATCTGACGGGCGCTTGTTCTCTTCGCATTGGAATGCTGGGACTTCCTTCTTCTGTTCATTGACGCAGTACACCAGGCGGTAGCGGAATCCTTCATCACACGTCTTGCTGCACTACAAGCAGAAGCACCCCGGTGAATCACACTGGATCTAATGACAGGTAAACCTTGAATACAGTGTTCTTTATATAGCAGAACTGTGGACCTGCACTTTCAAGTCTGCCAGTGGAGATAGGCTGTATGATCACTTTTAG